CACAGAGCAGCCGGTGGGTACAAACCCCTACCTTAGGGATTGGAGTGCAGCTTTTTTCCAGTAGGCCAACAGCTAGAGTCCTAAAAGCTGGGGAGACTTCTGAAGATACCAACAATTCTTGTGTTGTGGCCTGGGCATGGTTTGATGTAATTTGTTTTGGCAGCAATATTAACCTTATAGAGAACTTGCAAGTGTGGCTTTTAACACTTTTCTTTTCACCCTGGATTATTTGAAAGTAAATTACTAATACAGCAGTCCTTGTAGTCCTTCCCAAAAGTTTAGAGCATTGTAACCACAATGCAGCCATAAAAAAATTTAATTACTATCACATAATCTTCAGACCTTATTGTTAGGTGCCGTGGAGTCAACCATGACTCAGCAGCCCGTGAGCAACAGGTTGAGACCTTACTCTCGTTTAATCTTCAGACCTTCTTCAAGTTCTAGTGTCTGTCCCAGTGACCTTGGTGTTGCATTCAGTTATCACACCTCTTCGGTCTCCTTCAGTTTGGAACATAGCTTCAGTCTAGGAAGGACTTTGAAGGCTGGGGAAGCTTGCAGGTCTGTTGTATAGAATGTCTCCCAATCGGCAGCTGTCTGATCATGATGGGATTCAGGGACGGCTCCATCCCTGGAGTGAGGGTGCCCCTTCCCACCAGGTCCTACAGAGCAGCTCCCAGCTCCACACTGCCGCTGATGAGTTCATGGGGATCACTCAAGTTAAGGTGGTATCTGCCAGGCCTCTGTTCTGTATAATTACACTATTATCCTTTCTAGTTAATAAGTATTTTTATAAAGAGGTGTTTTGAAACTGTAATTGTTTGCCACTTTCAGTGTATTCATTTACTTCTTTTTTATCTATATAGATTATTGTTTCTTACTACGAATCAGCCGGTTCTAACTCCTAGCCACCCTCCTCTACATTTCTGAGGTTGTAAATCTTTATGGAATGAAATGGCCCATCTTTCTCCTTTCTCCCAGAGAGGGAGTAGTGGATTTGAACTGCTAGTCTTTTGGTTGTCAACCTGGCATAGTATATACCACCAGCGCTCCTGTATTGTATACAATGTCTTAAGATTCCTTGCTGTCATTATTTCTTCTTAGACTTATATTAGTTATTGTGAGATGCTAACAAGCCAGTTATGACTCTTAGTGATCCTGTGAACTACAGGTTGAAACTTTTCCCTATCTTGTGTCATGCTCAAGCCTGTTAGAGTCACTGTGTCCATCAAACTCATTGAGTATCTTCCTCTCTTTCTCTGACCTCTTACTTTTCTATACATGATATCTTTTTTTTTTAATTGTACTGATCATGCTAATGCAAAACCTATACTTGGACCAAGAGGCAGTCGTTAGAACAGAGCAGGGCAACATTGCATGGTTCAAAATTGGGAAGGGCGTGCGGCAGGGATGTGTCCTATCTCCATACCTTTTCAACCTGTATGCAGAGCAGATTATCCCAGAAGCTGGGCTCTATGAGGAGAAGCGTGGTGTTAGGATTGGTGGAAGATCTATCAACAGTCTGCGTTATGCAGATTACACAACCCTGCTTGCTGAAACTGAGGAGGACCTCATGCATTTACTGCAGAGGGTCAAGGACTGCAGCCTTCAGTATGGACTGAGGCTCAATGTCAAGAAGACAAAGATTCTCACCACTGGACCAATTGGTAGCATCAGGATGGATGGCGAAGAGATTGAGATTGTTCACAGCTTCAGTTTGCTCGGCTCCACAGTCAACACTCTTGGCACCAGCAGCCAGGAAATCAAAAAACATATTGCGATGGGAAAGTCTGCTGTTAGGGACCTCTGTAGGGTACTGAAGAGCAACAGTGTCTCTCTGGAGACTTAAGGTGCACCTGATACAGGCCATGGTCTTTCTTTGCAATCACTTGTTATGCATCAGAGAGTTGGACAATGACTAGGGAGGACAGAAGGAGAATTGATGCCTTTGAGCTGTGGTGCTGGAGAAGAGTATTGAATGTACGACAGACTGCCAAGAAAACAAACAGATTCATCCTAGAGAGGGTTAAACCAGGCTGCTCCTTGGAGGCAAAGATTCTGGGACTTCGTCTGACATACTTTGGACATGTTGCAAGGAGAGACAGGTCTTTGGAGAGGGACATCATGCTTGATAGGGTGGAGGGACAGCGCCGGAGGGGAAGATCCTCTATAAGGTGGATTGATTCCGTGACTGGGGTAATTGGAATGGGTGTGTCAGAGGCAATGCTATTGGCACAGGATAGAGCAGGGTTTAGGGCTGTTAACATAGGGTCGCTATGAGTCGCAAACGACTGGACGGCACACAACAACAACTATATTTAGCTGATTAGAGCCCTGTCAAACTGATTTCTGAGCCTTTTTGACATTTCCCATCGTTCTTTGAGTACATCCTAGCATTCTGGCAAACAGACCACTATTACAAGCTCATATTAAGTTTGGGTTTCCCTGGCCCAGCCCTAAAACGGGCCCTTTCTAAAGTGCTCTGATTCATTTCCTTTCCAGCCACACGGTTCATTGAGTTTTCTCCCTTTTCATTTCTGGAAGTCCTCCTTTTTCAGTGATGAGAAATCTGGATCTCTTTACCTTTATTTGCTGATTGATCAATTCCCCTTATGTAACCATTCCCCATTGCCTCCAGTTGAAGCTGTTTCTGACCCTCTCAGCATAGGGTTGAGTTGTGTGGTATGTGGCGTGGGGGGGAGGGGGGGGCGGTTGTTGTTGGTTTTTTTAAAGCCCTGGGTAACACGCATGTGCAGCTGAAATAGAGCACTGTTGAATGGAGCAAAGCTGAACCCCTTCCGATTTGACTTTACCCACCGTTTATGCTTCATGATTAATTCAGTGCCAATTTTTTATGTAAAAGGTGAATTTTAGAAAGAAGAGTCTACGAATATGCGTGGTAAAAGATTAGGGCAAGCACTGCCAGTCGGCTGGAAAGCTTTGAAAAAGATTTATTTTGGAAATAAATTTGCTTGTAGGGAACTTGAGTTTTAATTCCTTTGCCGTAGTTACCTGTTCAGAGGGAAAATATTTGCAAAGCTTAGTTGTCTTTTGAGAATGTGGCTCATTTAAAAGTTATCTTTTTAAAATTGTGTTTTCGGAAAAGAACCTTTTCATTTTAAAATAGCTATAGATTTTGAGGGGGAAAAGAAATTCACTTGTGCTCGTTAAAGCTTTGGATGTTTAAACAGGAGGTGTTACAGGCCTTGCTGGTTCCTTATCTAGGGTCGGCTTCACGTTGAGATGAGTCCTGGCCTGTGGGAACAAGGGCAACGTGTTGTAAGCACTCATAGCCCCTGAACCTGGGCATGTCGGATTTTGAACCAGATGAGACAGGCATCACTCCTAGATGGCAGTTGACCACGTCCAAAGCTGGGCACCTTGCCGCCCTCCTTGAGCAGGGCGTTCTGCTTGCTTGCGACTCACGTCAAAATCCAACCCACAGGAGACTTGGTTGCTATGCAACATGTAAGCTGCCCCTGTTTATATCGGCCATGACTGCACCATTTTAAACCACTTTGAAGCCTGTCCTCCCTATAGAATAGAGAAGCCAAGTGACAGTGACTTGGACCTGAGGACCCTCATCTTCTTGCATTTGGCGCCAGAAGAAGCAAAGGCTCCAGACACCAGATGTAATAGGATCATCCTGTGTTAGGTGGTCAGCATTTACCTTGCCAGTTGTTATAAATCCATTTTCTGGTTACCAGCACAAGGCTGTAGACTGTGCCCCCAGAGTACACTGCTTGCTGCAGGTGGAGTTTTGCCCAGAGCTTTACGCATAGGCAGATGTAGTCATATCTAACTCCAAAGACATTCAGCCTCAGGCCTGAGAAGATTTTAGTAGCATTCTCTCCCTTGGAGGATGTTTCAAAGGTTTAGGGTGTGAATTGTACATTTTTAGGCTTTTTACATTTTTAGGCTTTTACACATGTAGCTCAGAAGTGCAGAAGGACGAAAGCTAATAAAGGCAGCCAGAACAATTATTTCCTTAACGTTTGTATTTCTAGGTACTGGGAATTCTATATGTTGAGTCACCTAGAATCATTACAAGTCTTCAGGCACTTTCCATTAGGTGGTTCATTTCTCTGGGGGAACTGCGAACTGAATCTCTGTCTCTCTTTTCAGCTCTGAAATTCAGTAAGGCTGGGTCTGGGTTTCCTGTCTTGAACTGAGAGCTTATATCAGTCAGTGGTTGTCAGTGGGGTTTCTCCAGTTGGAACTTAAAGAGAAGCTGATAGCATTACATTCCAAAGTTATCTTACAGTGTAAGACACAAATTATATTACCTTAATTTCTTAAGATTCAGCACATTTCTTTAACTGGAAGTGTTGTATATTGTATATCATTTTTATTCTAACAGAGAGGTGGGAAACCTGATAGTCGTAACTCATTTGTGCAGGAGAGTGCAATTGTGAATTCAACCAGTAGGGAATGCATTTATTTATAAGACACTCAGTACCTGCCAGAAGACATGGGTAGACACTAGGCAAAAAAATACAGTATTAATAATCTAGCAGAAATGTGGAATATTGGATGGAGAGGCAGTTTTATGTTCACTTAACTGCTCTGAAGGTGTCAAACGAAAACACCTAAAGTATGATAAATACGTGTATACCATTACTGAATTAATACAGCCTGCATTATTTGTGAGGAAATTGCCAGAATCCAATTGGATGTCATATATTCAAGTGAAGTGTTTGCGAAGTACACAGAGTGTATATGTGTGTTTCTGTATTCCTTTAGAAAGGTACTATAAAAACTTGTTTTAATGGACTCCTTTGAAATCAAACTTAATGTTAGATTTGCAGAAAGGGTAACAAACCAAGATAATGGGGATGGCTAATTTCTGGTGCACTTTATGCATCCTTTTAGTTTTAGTGTAAAGTTGAGGGGTGTACTACTGCCCCTTTGTAGAGATGAAATGTTGCCTTGCATTTGATTTGCTACATATGTCCAGTGTGAATATAAGTGTGTAACCTTCTGATATGTCATTATTTTAACAGAGAGAAGGAGCAAGAAAGGGAAGAACAGTTAATGGAAGACAAGAAAAGGAAGAAAGAGGATAAAAAGAAAAAAGAAGCCACTCAGAAGGTCAGTTAAATCTGTTAACATTTGCCAGCCATCCAGAATACTGGACATTTCAGTAATGCTTCTTGAGGCATTAGTTGGTTTAAAAATGTTAGAATTGGAAAACAGGAGAAAGATAACAAGTAAGACATTAATATGACAACTGATTTGATGAAAACAATAGCATATAATTTTGACCAAGTCAAGAGTATTACCAAACACTCAACTCTTACTGGATTGTTTTCCTAGAAGGACTTTTAAAAGCTTACTGGCATTTGCCCTCATGTTTCCTTTTTGATTCACAGCATTGCCCTGAAGATGAGTCCGCCTGAGGAAAGGGTTCTTTTTAATAATTCTTTAAAGTGACCACCTTGAAGAAAATCCAGACAGCCCACTTAGTGTTATGGAGGCTGCACATGGAGGCTGCCCTGTCTTTGTGGAATTTTCCCAAAGAGAAAGAGAAGATATTGAACAAAAAAGTGCATAGGGTAATCAGCTGTCAGCCAAAAGTCTTAGTGGATGAGTTTGAGAGCTTTCCGGAGTAGACAGCGGTTAGCACATGTTCCCACCACTACAACCCCATCAGGACATGTCCCTTGAATGTTGTCTAGTCTGATTTCTTTCCCCACCTCCCCACTGTGCTGGCTCGCCGAATGGGAGGCTTGCATTGGTGCCTTCTTAGGAGGCAAGACAATTTGATTCAGTGTTGTTACCTCAGCTGAAGCATTTGGGAAATAACCTGGCTGTGGAGCTGGTTTGAGGCTCCCTCCCACGATGCTGGGGCATTGAAGTTAGGCTTAGGGAGGTGGGAATGATTACAAAGTTAAAACACTAGGCTTAGAGTCTAGGTAATTAAGAGAACTTGAACTTATACAAGGTTTAAGGAATACCACAGGTATTTCCAGCATTATGGGATATAGAGTTTCTCATTGAATTATAAGAAATAAATAATTTCTGTGTACCAGCATTTTCTTTCTTTTAAAAAAAAAAAAAAAAACCCTGAAACTCTGGAAGTACTTTCTGAATTGCATTGCATAGGACCCTACCATGTTTAACATATGAAATGTAACTTTATCTTTCTTCATGATTTAATTAAAAGGACCATTCATTAATGTTTGTTGCTCTAATGGACTGCTGTGCTCTTGAAGATCTTGTCTACTCTTAATTGTGTTTCTGTTTCTGTTAATAGTGGTGTGCTTGCCAGCACATCTTCTAATACCAGGGTACCTGCTTCTGATGTGCTGCTTCTGATCTGTTAGCTGAGCTTGTTAGGAGATATCTAAAATGACAGGGAAGAGTCTGCATAAGAGGGTAGGTCATGACTCAGGCTGCTCTGTATGTTGTTTTGGGGATGCAGCCACATTCATGTCATTGAGGTGCTGATATTCAGGCCTACCAACTGGGGGACAATCCCAACCCCCTGGTTTTGGCCTGGGACTGATGGGCTCTTGGCCCTGTGCCCTGGCACATACTGGCCTCCACAACTGGAGTGGCATGACAGTGATCCTCAGTGAAGGCTTTTCTCCCGTTAGGGAACTCACATTTTCCCCACTAAATTCCTGCAAAAATTGCATTTTACAGCTGATGAGGTTGGATTGTTAATAAGCTGGACTCCAGGGACTAGAGCCAAGACTGCTGACAAAAAGAGGCCACAAAAAGTGTTTTATACGAACCATACTCCATCTTCATTCTTTTTTAAAAACATAACTTTTTTAATTATTAATTTTAATGAAAATTTACAGAGACTTTGGATTTCTGTTCATTCATTTTTTAACTTTTCTCCCTGCCCACCCCTCCCTCCCCCCAGTACATTCTTCTCTTTGAAAAGTAAAGGAAAAATTCTTTCATTGTTTTACAGTCCCTCTCCCCAGGTCTACTGCACTATGCAGCCTTCGTTCTGGACTCCTGTCATGACAATAATACCTAATCACATATCCCTTTTAAACAGTTTTCTCCCTCATCTGTTTGAATGCAGTATATATTATTTATCCCATCTTTCTCAGTCTCCCCCCAACCCTGATGTCAGTCCTGTTTTACAACAGTGGCGCTATGCAGTATTTGTGCTTTTGTGACTGATATATTTCACTCAGCATAATGTCTACCAGGGTCACCTATTTTGAATAATATTTCATGAATTCCTTGTTTTTCAGTGCAGTGTAGTATTATTACATTGTGTGAATATACACAGCTTCTCTATCCATTCGTTTGTTGATGGGCACTTAAGTTGTTTCCAACTCCTTGCTATTGTGAACAAAGCCATAATAAACATGGGTGTGCATATATCTGCTTGGGTGGCAGTTATGATCTCTTTGGGGTATCCATCTTCGTTCTTAACGATAGAGACAGTGTTTCCTCGAACTGAAGTTATCAGTATCAATTGTTGTTGTTTTGTTATGTGCTGTCAAGTCGCCTGTGACTCGACCCTCTGTACAACAGCCCTAAACCCTGCTCTATCCTGTGCCAATCTCTTTCTCTGACACACCTACCCCCATTACCCCAGTCACTGAATCAATCCACCTCATAGAGAGTCTTCCTCTCTTGTACTGTCTCTCCACCCTCCCAAGCATGATGTCCCTTCTTTTTTTTTTTTATTTTTGTGTGAGTGTACCGTCAAATCAGATCTGACTGGTACAGGAGGAGATTGTCCCTCCTTTCCCGGCAGAGCATCTGGTGGATTTGAACCGTGCGCCCCTGGGATTGTAGTTGCAGCTCCTTTCCACTAGGCCACCAGAGCTCCCCTGCGTCCCTTCTTGCAACATGTCCAAAGTATGTCAGACAAAGCCTCAGAATCCTTGCCTCCAAGAAGCAGCCTGATTTAATCCTTTCCAGGATGAACTTGTTCGTTTTCTCAGCAATTCATGATATATTCAGTATTCTTCACCAACAGCACAGCTCAAAGGCATCAATTCTCCTTCTGTCCTCCCTAGTCATTGCCTAACTCTCTGATGCATAGCAAATGATTGCAAACACCATGGCCTATATCAGGCATACCTTAGTCTCCAGAGAGACACCATTGCTCTTCAGTACTTTGGTACATTGTACTCTGCAGTACAGCAGACTTTCCCATCATAATATGTCTTTTCATTTCCTGCCTGCTGGTGCCAAGAGTGTTGACTGTGGAGCCAAGCAAACTAAAGCTATTAACAATCTCAATCTCTTTAACATCCATCCTGATGCTGCCAGTTGGCCCAGTGGTGAGAATCTTTGTCTTCTTCATATTGAGTCTCAATCCATATTGAAGGCTGCAGTCCTTGACCCTCTGCAGCAAGTGCTTCAAGTGTTCCTCACTTTCAGCAAGCATAGTTGTGTCATCTGCATAACACAGATGGTTGATGAATCTTCCACCAATCCTGATGCCACACATCTCATAGAGCTCAGCCTGCCGGATAATCTGTTCTGCATATAGGTTGAAAAGTTATGAAGATAGGACACATCCCTGGCATATACCCTTCCCAATTTTGAACCATGAAGTGTTTCCTTGCTCTGTTCTGATGACTGCCTCCTGGTCCAAGTATAGGTTTCACAATATCATGATCAAGTGTCCTGGGATTCCCTTTCTTCTCAGAGTCAGCCACAGTTTGTTATGATCCACACAGTCAAATGCCTTTGCCTAATCAATGAAACATAGACAGACATTCCTCCGGTACTCCCTGCTTTCAGCCAAGATCCATCTAACATTAGCTACAATATCCCTCATACCATGACCCCTTCTAAAGCCAGCCTGCGCTTCTGACAGTTCTCTGGTGATGTGCTGTTCCAGTCATTTTTGGATAATCTTCAGCAGAATCTTGCTTGTCTGTGTTATCAATGTTATTGTTTGATAATTTCCACACTCTGTTGGATCACCTTTCTTTGGAATGGGAACAAATACAGATTTCTTTCAGTCAGTTGGCCAACTTGTTGTCCTCCAGATTTCTTGACACAACTTGATGAGCACATCTAGGGCAGCATCTGTTCGTTTAAATATGTCAGGTGGTATACCGTCAATTCCTGGGACCTTATTTTTTGCCAGATCCACGGCATAATTTCAGAATTAAATTCTCATTTAGCAGTTGTGAGGAGAAACTTACAAAGCCTGCCATATGACTATATTTGTGGTTTTTAACCTTTTTGTAGAATTGAGACATTACTCAACTCAGAGACATAAAATGTACAATTTTGCAAAGAATTGTAGGGAATATACCAGAATCCCTATTGTGCATCCAGTCAGTAAGCGTGTGGTGCCTCTTCCTGGTGCTGTCACAGCTTTCACGGTTCTGAGTTACCTCGCCTTGTGTCTGATTTTCCTCTAAGTTTCTTGAGACTTCGGCTTTCTAGTAACTACGGCAGGGTCTAGTGGATAATAGACTCAAGCAGAGTTTGTTGAGTAAGTGAATGGCCAAGAGAAACCTGTACTCAGACCAGAGCAGTCCTCAGAACAGAGCAAGGAAATACTGCATAGTTCAGAATCAGGAAAGGAGTGCGCCAGGGATGTGTCAGGGATGCATCCTATCTCCATACCTTTTCAATCTATATTCAGAACAGATCATTTGAGAGGCTGGACTTTGTGAGGAGGAATGTGGCGTCACAGTTGGAGGAAGACTCAACAGTCTTCATAGTGACGACAACTTTGCTTGCTCAAACTAAGGAAGGCCTGAAGCATTTGCTGCAGAGTCAAGGATTGTAGTCTGCAATATGGATTGAGGTTCAATATAAAAAAAAAAACACAAATATTTTCACCACTGAACCAATTCGGAACATCATGATAGACTGAGAAGAGATTGAGATTGATAACAATTTCAGCTTGCTTCATTCCACAGTCAATACTCCTGGTACCAGCAGTAAGGAAATAAAAAGACGAATTGTATTAGGAAAATTTGCTGTCATGGACTGCTCCACAGTGCTGAAGAACAATGTCAGTCTGGAGCCTCAGGTTTGCCTGATCCTGCCATGGTCTTCACAGTTACTTGCTGTGCACCAGACAATGAACAAAGATGAGAGAAGAAGAATTGATGCCTTTGAGTTGTGGTGCTGGAGAATAGTCTTGATCATTGCATGGACTGCCAAGAGAACGAACAGGTCTGACCTGAGAGGATGAAACCATGTTTCTTGTTGGAGGCAAGGATTTTGAAGCTCCGTCTCACATACTTTGAGGATGTTGCTGGGAGGAACCAGTTCTTGGAGAAGTACATCATGTTTGGAAGGGTGGGTGGAGGGACAGAGCAGGAGAGGAAGACCTTGGATGAGATGGATTGACATAGTAACTGTGGTAAGTGTGTCAGAATCAGTGAGATTGGCTCAGGATAGCTGGGTTTAGAGCTATTGTGCATAGGCTCACTGTGAATTATGGTGGACTCAACAATACTTAGCAACAATTCAAAGAATTTAAGAAACACTGAGAAGTCATATGAATCAGTTGTGTAACTCAGAGCCCACATGTGGCAGTGGTGTATTCTGGGATAACTTGTCAGGGAGCAGGTTAGCTCCAGGAGGGGTCCTGTAAAAGTGAGTATGTTTTCACAAACACCCATCACCGTGACTTAATGTGGTTACCAGCCACAAATATTCAAACTCCTTTTATCTAGATGAGTATTTTCATTTCAACATTTAAGAGGATTGCTTTGTACTGGTCTAGAAGGAAATGGGATTCAGAATACCCCAAGATCTCAACAATGTAGCATGACCACTGTTGAAATTCTGCTGTATTTACTTCTGGGTGTTTCTCTTAAGACCTTTTGTGGTTTTGTTTTATATTACAGAGCATGTATAATTAGGTGTGTACCCTCCTTTAGTTTTCCATTTTTAAACAGTACCTGAAACAGATTTCCATGTGGCTCCTATTCATCATCTCTGTATTCTCTGCAAACCCATTATTATGTTTACCCTGTACAACCTCTATGGTTAATCATTTCCACAGATATAGTAGTTACTGCGTAAAGAAATGCTTTTAGCAGAGCAGCCAGTTTTCCTTAAAAATTTACATATTTCAACATATTATTATTATTGTTGTATTTTATGCTATTTTATATATAAGCTTTGATGATAATAACAGCAAACATTTATTGACTGTTGGGCTAGGATGTCTGTCTGACTCCATTCTCACAACAGCACTTTGCAGAGTTACTGTTATCATTGCCATTCAGCAATTCCACTACTGGGAATTTACCCTAACGAAACCATAACCACCACCCAAGTAGATATATGCACACCCATATTTATTGCGGCTTTGCTCGCAATAGCAAAGAGCTGGAAACAATCCAAGTGCCCATCAACAAGCGAATGGATAGAGAAGCTGTGGTATATTCACGTAATTGAATACTATGCTGCATTGAAAAACAAGGAACTTATGAAATATTATGCAAAATGGATGACCCTGGAGGACATTATGCTGAGTGAACTATCTCAGTCACAAAAGGACAAATATTGCATAGGGCCACTGTTGTAAAACGGGACTGACATTGAGGTTGAGGGAAGACAGAGAAATAGGGATGAATGATGTATACAGCATTGAAACAGATGAGGGAGAGAACTGTTTAAAAGGGGTATATGACTGGGTATTATTGTCATGACGAGTCCAGAATGAAGGCTGCACAGTGAAGTGGACTTGGGGGAGGAGGGATTGCGTGACAATGAAAGAGTTTTACTTTTCAAGAAGAGTGCTTTGGAGGGGAGGGGTGGACAAGGAGAAAAGTGCAACAATGAATGAATGGAAACCCTAAGTCTCTGTACTTTCATTAAAATTAATTAAAAATATATGAAAAAGAAAAAACTGAGACCAGAAAGTAGCAGACTTGGTTTAGAATCCTGTTCTCTGACCATGATGTTCATTTGATTGGCCTCTAAGCTTTTCCTTTCTAGATTTGAAGTCTCTTGTTTGAGTCTGTCCTTGTAAGGTTGAATTTTTTTTGTGTGGTATGGTTTGTTTTGATTTTTTTTTTTTTTTTGTCTTTGTGACTCATTAGTTTCTGGACCTCATTTATTTATTTGTCTATAGTCACAGCAGTTGAAATGGCAGCCTGCATTTCCAGGAGAGGGACTTCATAATTCAATGAGTGGAATGCTGTCTGTTTTATATTTCGTGTTCTTCCAAATGCAGGTTGAGCTGGTGGCCATTGTCTTCAGAAGGAGGTCTTAAGAAACTGCCAGGTTCATTTCCTGGATTTTAACTATGCCCAGCTCTCTAGCTGCTTGAACTGTACTCGAGTTTTCAGAATCAAAGTAGTCTCATTAAACAGTACTGAATTAGAAAGCCAATCTCATTTATTTCTGTTAATTTATTTTACAGGTCACGGAACAAAAAACCAAAGGTAAGCGTTTTTTGTATTTTTTTTTCTTTTAACCCCAGCTCCCTTTAAAAAAGTCGTAGACTCTCTTGTGTTTAGATTTCAGACTCCTGCTGCTGACTCAGCCTCCTCTCTACTTGACGAGAGAAGGGTGGGTATAGTAAAAGTTGGTGCTTGCCTTCACGGAAGGAGCAAGAGAGACAGATTAAAAGTACTTGCAGTTTATTTGTGTTTTTGGTAAACTTTACATTTCTAAGAGGTAAAAGAGATTTAAAAAACAAACAAACAAACCACCTTGATTTGAAAGCATGTCCGTCACCAGTTTGAATGAAACTTTTTGGAAACTTCTCTTAGAACACCACCAAGCCAAACATCAGCTACTAACTTAAAGATTGGGGAGCGACCATGGGTGGTCAGCTTCCTCTGTCCATGACGTTGAATCTGATAATTACATCTGAAAGCTGAACGTTAGGTCTAGGATGTTCATACTACCTTAAGGGCCTGGGATATGGTTTGGTTTTTTATTTTTTTTTGTTATGTTGGGGGGGGGGTTAGGGAAATGATTGTTTAAAGATACATTATTTTTTTAAAATTCATTTTAATGAAAGTTTAGAGACTTTGGATTTCCTAAAGATAATATTTTTAAATAGATTACCTCACTTTGAAAATAATAATGTGGCAAAAGCAGAGATATTCCCTAGGCCTTTCTTAGCTTAATAAACTGTGTCTTTTCTGGTTATTTCTCTTTTAATTTTGATTATGTAGTTTTATCTGTTGATGATCATACTTTTGAATCAGTTCCCTACAAGAATGTGAAACTTCATTCCTGAGACTAATATTTTATCTCCTGTCCTTTCCCGCATAATTGTATGATTTTCATCTGTTGTTATGTGCCATCAGGTCGCTTGCGACTCATAGCTACCCTTTGTACAACAGCCCTAAACTCTGCTCTGTCCCTTGCCAGTCACACTGTCTCTGACACTCCCATCCCGATTACCCCAGTCACTGAATCAGTCTACCTCATAGAGGGTCTTCCCCTCTTGCGCCGTCCCTCCACCC